TGCATCTGGACTAAGTAACTAGTTGAAAAGCTTAAGTATAGATGCAGATCTGTCCTAACATATAGAGGCTTAGGGGTATAAATTGGGAGAGCAATGAGCAAACAAGGGACAAGCATTGGCTGTTACTTGTCCCATTACCTAGACTATTGAGTCTGTATTTATTGGATTAGATAGAAACTACATGTTTAACAGGAAGTATTAGTAAGCATTATTTTCTGTTGTGACCATTATCTCTGAAACACTCATTCCTCCTAATACAGTAATTCCTGGAGGACCTTAATAGCCATTCCAGCTCCAACTTTGGCCCATTTAAGTTGAAAGAATGAATGACAGCAGGTCTGACTTCAATACACAGTTGCACATATGTGTTTCATGTCTTCATAATCATTCATAAATGGTCAGGTCTGGGATGTAGGCAGCAGATGTCTACAACTGGAGCATCAGGACCAAAGGTGGGGGAAATCTTAGTGGGATATGGTGAAGTCAGGAACAAACAAGGGTCAGATATTCAACAAGGGATAGCGGATCTAGAAGCAAAAACAGAATCAGGAAAATGCAGGGGTCAGATACTGTCCAGGCATGGGAAGATAAGGAGTCAGCAAAGATCCAATACCAAAGGTCAGACACCAACAAAGTGAAACGGAGAGAAGCAGGGTTAGGTCAGAGAGAATAGGAAATAGGTACCTGGCATGGTAGGGTCAGGTTGAAGGCGGGGGCAGAAACAGGAGCTGGCCAGAGACAAGGCAAGAGGCAGGATTAAGACTAATATGGCCCCATGAAGACCTGTGGTGTTGTGGCCAAGCTGAACAGGGAAGCCTCTTGTAGAGCCTTCCAGAGCTGCCAGCTGCACTGCAGAATTGGACAGGCTGTAATTCTTGCACGTACTTACAGGTGTGCTCCTGGTCCTGCAGGGAGGAACCGGTTGCTCCTCATTGGGCAAGCTGTGTCTCAGCTTCAGCTTCTAACACAAATCTTCCCCTGCTGCACTGAATGCATGTTACAACTGTTCACAATTTGTGCTTCTCCTTCTTTAAAGTTACCATATATCTTCTGCTTGAATAGCAGCAGATTAATCCCCACTTGCTTACCCTGGGAGCTTTTCCATACTGCTAGGTTGATCGAATTATGAGAATTCCAATGCAAAGCATGCAGAATTCCCCACTTCAAGCTGTAGCTTTAATGAACTACCAATAATATGTCCCTACTAGTTCAGGGCTTGCTGTCCCTTTATAATCAAAGAGCCCGTCAGATAAATCTGTCTTGGTTTAAATTCACCAAAGTTTGGCCACTTATGCTGAAAACACAGGGAACTGATTATGGTTGGTTAATAGACCAAGATAAGATGGCTTGTTAGAGTACAAGAAGAAAGCCACATTTAAGAATCTTCAATTAAGTGATGAATATATTTCTTGGAAAATTATGAATTGTTTTTAGTAAAACTGAGGGCTGTGGTGAATTAATATTAAGGATTACACAAACGATTAGGACCAAATAGTCACCAATGTTCTTCTTTGGCAACCTCCTTGACTTCAGCTTATCCTTAAAGAACTGAGAACACCTTTGGGTGTTGTGATTGTCAGCCACACTTGCTGGCTGATAGGTGTTGAAAAGTAAAATAGTTCCTAGACTTCACATATGACATTCATAAAGCAGTGAATGGAGAAGAGGTTTCAGACAAAGCCAGCTTAAAAACTACACATTTGGCCTATGATTTTTGAATCAGCATAAACTTTGTATTTTTGACTAAAGGAAACAGCAGATGCTTCCTGTTAAACTGTCAAAGGCTGCAGTTTAACTTTTTGTTCTTTTCCATCAAATACAAGTCACAAATACAGACCAGTTAAGAGACAGTCACTATACTTACTGTTCTATTTTGCAATAGTTGTTACTTCAAGAATAAAAAGCTTGAAATAAGAGGGAAAATATTGTTTTATTTAAACAATTCAGTAATACTGACAAATTTCAGAGCACAGCTTATGCACATACAAAAGTATCTGTATATTTTCCAAAGACAGCTGTATATCAAAGTATACCACAATTATTTTTAAAGCTGTTTTCTTGCTTGACTATTTAAGCTGCTGATAATTGATAAGACTGCAGCAATGGGTAAGCAATATGATGAGAGACTGCTTGACATCCCCACACTTTAGAGCGCTCCAAGGAACAACAGAAAAGTAGGACATTGTTCATCCTTATTTCCAAGTATTTTAACATTTCACATAGTTGCAGTCTGAAGCAGCTTTGAAAATTCTCACCCCTCCTCCATCCGTTGATTTAACCACACCACTGTGAACAAATCCAAGCATAAAGCTAAACAATACCAAGAAGTTCCTGTTGCAGTCAAAACTGTTAGTGTGAAGTACAGCTCACTTTCGAGTTATTAGCAAGGATTTCCTCTAAAAACATATAAAATGTAGGCTCAGACAATAGCATTGCTTGCTTTCACTTGTAGCTTAATTGGAATTACTAGTCTCTCCATTTCATCAGCAAATACAGCAGCATTAAGATTTTTCTAAAAAAAAGGATAATAAATCATTCTTGAATCAAAAGCAGAAGTGCTCTTAAAATTCTCCTGGTGGTCCAGAGTTTGCTTTCTACTTTTGTCAATACAAGATTTGCATAATTACTACCTGTCTGCCATGAATCATGGTTTTCTGTGCTAACAGGACCAGGCAGTAGCAATCATGGAGCATCTCTGAACAATTTTGTCCTCCTACCACCAAGCTCAGCAACAGCAGTGATATTCCATTAAGGAAGAAACTGAAGCTAAGTAAGAGTTATGGCACAATGGATCTCATAGCTTATAGCCACCACTGGTTCTGAAGCTTATTAACATCCCCTGGTAGGCAGCACCTGCTGTACCTTCCATCAGCATTAGCCAGAGATTTCAGGTCATGTAGCGAGTAATGGCTCTCAGAGCATAAAGCAGTTCAGCCTGCATCCGTGCTTCTATGAGAAGCAAATTGACATGAACCTTAAAAGGGAAAGAAACACAGCTGAATTTGCAGTATATTTTCTGTTCATATAATTGTTTTAAGGCATGCAAAATTTCTGTGATTAACATTTCAAGAAAGAGCCAGACCACTCAATTGGCTGCCCACACATAGCTGCCACCCTAAGTGTGAAAGGCTGAAGCTGGATTTATGACTGGGGAGAGATTCTGTGTGGTACTATATGAACTGCTACCTCCATGTGGGGGTTGGAGCAGCACACAGGGGTCCTGCAATCTGCACAGAGATGCAGCTTCAGTGGACTATGAGGCCCACAACGGCATGAACACTGCTAACTCTGAAAAACTAGCTCTCAGTCAGGGATCACATTTCCCTGTCTAACAGCATTAACTGTCTGAAAATACAGCTATTCCTACAAGACTCTACTAACTTCCAAGGATCTAGGCCATAACACTTCTTTTCAAAATGAATCTGGAGGGAGGGGAAAATAATCAAAAACTTCCTGTGGAAAGGAAGTAAGATGAAAGGCAAGTGGGAAATACTATCAGATAAATCCTCAATGTGAGGCAAGATCTGCCAACACAAAATGAAGGCATCATCTGCAGCATACCCCATAATTTTGAGCTGTATAGGTGACCTAAGTACCGGCTTACCATGAGGACGTCTTCAAATAAACTTCCAACTATTTGGCCTGACTAATCTTATAATCTTTCAACTATCATACTAATCAGATGTATAAACAAAAGCATTGCTTACAATATAAGTTATTATAAGTATTAAAATTACTTTGTAAAAAGGTGAGATTATTAAAAATAATGGAATCACAATTTTAATCAAAATGAATGCTCAAAGCCCTCTCCATACGTTTAATTGGTAAGCAGTATCATTGCTAAATTTACCAGGTCACAAAATAGAGATTCATTCATGCAAGATTTACCTTCTCAGAGTGTTTGAATTGCCTCCAGAAGCTATCATACATTCTACTTGTGGTCCTCTCAGGAGCGCAGACCACTGTTTTTATGTAAATTTTAAAGTTGTGGTCTAGTAATTGGTTGATTTCTCCATAGTCATAATCATCGTATCTGTTCGGAATCAAGGAGACAAACATTTTCAATTTTGCCTTGCTACTTATATTTCAACTGAAATAAACATTTTCATCATTGTTATGACTAATTATACCAACTATGTGACAAGAATATCTGTTCTGGTGGATCTTGAATCTACTCCCTTGGAGTAGCCTTCCCTGATCTGATACCTAGAGCCAATCAGAGTCCCATCTTAGTAACTCTCCTCTCCTCTCCTCTCCTCTCCTCTCCTCTCCTCTCCTCTCCTCTGAGTAGAGGTCATGGGTTTGCTTCTTCAGGGCCTTTTCCTACTTCCATCAACTCTGAAATACTACTATTTATATATAAAGCAGCACTATCTAGGCCATTGTATTTTTAGAATCTTACAGCTTTCTTTGCCTTTTTCACTTTTTCTCTGACCAGTTTCACCTTCCTTAACAGCTTTTTCAAGCCAAGAACCTATAAACACCATGAGACTGTTGTTCCACACTTTTATTATTTAAATTAAGGTAATTGGCTTTATTAGGACACAAGGCACTCATCTCAAGCTCTTTGCTTTCCAGAATTGAGCAAATATAAACCTTTCCCTGGAACAGCTGATGATGCTTTATTAAGTACTACCATTTTCCTTATGCTAGCTTTAGTTCAGGTGGATATCTGTCATATACCAGGACAACACATTTTGATGTACGATCTTAGTATGAACTCAATTTAATGAACTGCATTCATTACAAAAACGTGCGTGTAGAGCTGATAATGCCAACAAAATTAACAAGTGCTAAACACTGCCCTGACTAAAGCTGGCCTTAAGCAGAATCTGTAATAGGACCAACCTTATTCCAAACATACAGTGGATATAATTCCAGATTGCCCTTCTAAGCATTGAGGTGTCCACATCTTTATGCATAGCCATTGTGTTGTAAGTCAAGTTGTAAGCAATCTGAAACTTCTCATCTATCAGCTGACCCACATCTGGATAAAGGCGATTTACCAGTGAATATCCATGGTCCTCCCAAGAATAGTCCTGAAAAACAAAATACCGTATTTTTTGCTCTATAAGATGCACTTTTCCCCCCCTCAAAAGTAAGGGGAAATGTCTGTGCATCTTACAGAGCGAATGTGTGTGTGTGCCCGACACCCAGGACGCTTCCAGCCCACCTACACCACGTGGCACCACCTGGCCGGCACATGCTCGGCGCGCCCTGCTCTGCCCCCCCCCCGCACAGGTGAGAGCTGTGCCGCTCAGGGGGAGTGGTGCGGAGGAGGAGGAGCCGCAGGCTTTAACCCACCGGCCGCACGGAGAGACGGACTGCTCACCCCCACCGCCTGGGGAGACCTGCCACCGCTGCGCCGCCCGGAAGACCACCAACAGCACGCTACCGGCCCCACATGGCATCACCTGGCCAGCACGCGCTTGGTGCACCCTGCTCCTCCCCCCCGCACTCCGGCGCAGGTGAGAGCTGTGCCGCTCAGGGGGAAAGGTGCGGAGGAGGAGCTGCGGGCTTTAACTCACCGGCCGCAGACTGCTCACCCCCACCACCCGGGAACACCTGCTGCCGCGCCGCCCGGAAGACCACAGCCGGCACGCTGCCGGCCCCACGTGGCACCACCTGGCCAGCACGCACTTGGCACACCCTGCTCCGCCCCCCTCCTCCGGCACAGGTGAGAGCTGTTAATCACAGGTCGGTGTGTGTTTTCAAATGGCAACCCATCTTTTAATGAAGCCCATGGGGAAGTGATGGGGAATGTGCCTGTGATTATCAGGAAGCTTTCCATGGATCAGTTATCTGTTAGTTGATCAGACACTTTTTTTTTAGGATCAGTGGATATTTGAACAGTATTACCTT